AAATATGCCGACTTATCTGGAGATCCTTAGCCGCTTCATTGTTGAGCGTGGTCTGAGTCGGTCAGCTGGCCCACTTCTACGTCACAAGCGACTAACTGCCGCCGTGTGGTCCGTAATTGGGGGTCGCGCGCCTCGGTTGACCGCTCCGGCTCGGAGGTACGCCAGGAACGCGGCGTCAGACGGCACGGACCGAGCGGGTCGAAGCGGTTCACGCTCATCCACGGAGCGGGGATTATCTACGTACAGGAATGCGGCATGGGTTCGTGCAGGCTCTTATGCACAGAAAGCATGCAGGATACATGTTCACTGCTTAGCCTGTACAGCTGGACTACATTAAAGCAGGGGGGTCCAGGGTGGAAGTTTGGACACCCGCCGAGAGATAGAGCATTTTGCGACTTGCAAGGACAGGAAAATTTGAGTGTCATTAAAGCAGCAATGTCTTGAGAGGTCAACATTGACACGTTTTGGTGACTACGAAGCACTATCTTAACGCAGCACATAAAAGATACGGGCAAGGCATTCCTTTCAAATGAGCCACGTAGCAGAAATAAAACTATCGTTACGACTTGAATCAAATGCAGCACAGGTTTGATCGCACACGTATGGCTACCGTAACGCTGGTAACGAAAATACCAAAACTAAGAAACGAAGAGAGCTCTCACTGGTGGCTCTACCAGCAAGCAGTGCTAGTTAAGCGCTGACGAATGGGCCACCGAAGCACCATCAGACGGGCCACCGAAGCACCATCAGACGGGCCACCGAAACACCATCAGACAGGCCACCGAAGCACCATCAGACGACAGTCGACGTTACGCTGAGTGGTTACATGTCCCAATTGGAAGAGATGACAAGGATTGTTCAAGGTGCTCGCGCACGCCCTCGGGCCGTGGAAGGTTGTGGAGCGGTCTCGCCAATGTTGAATATCGTCCGACGCGGCGACAGCGCTCCGACGCTCCGCGGCATATAGACAGCTATTCGTCGTTGGCAAAAACAAGTTTGTAGTCGTGCGAAGTTGGTTTGCGTATTGCGACGAGTTAGGGGATGTTCTGCATCGTCTGAGGTATTTGACGGGTCCCAGAGGTCATCAGTGCCCCTTTCTGTCCATGGGAACATACAAGTCACAGATGTGGAAGGTTTCTTACTGCATAATAGGTGGCACCCCAGGTCGTCAGAGAATTTCGGATGATTATCGGAGAACATGCAATGCCGTGCGGCTGCTCAGCTGGTGCGAAGCAGCCGGCAGCAGTAACGATCTCCTCTGCTGCAGAGTCGAGCCCGCCCAGTGAGCGACGCTCAGTAGCCGGCAGCCGTAACGATCTCCTCTGCTACAGAGTCGAGCCCGCCCAGTGAGCGACGCTCAGTAGCCGGCAGCCGTAACGATCTCCTCTGCTGCAGAGTCGAGCCCGCCGAGTGAGCGACGCTCAGCCGCCGACGGTCAGAGGTCAGAGTGTCAGCCTCGTTGGCATTCGGCACCGTCGCGCGTTATCGAGTGGTCACCACTTCCCGGGGCGTGATCGGAGCGTGACGGACCCTGTGACGGACCCTGTGACGCCGCGGCGCGGCTGCCGGTCGCCGGCGGCGGCAGGGCATGCCCAGGTCGGCCCGGAGGCCCTCTGCTCAGCGGGCGATCAAGCACGGTCGGTGACGTCACCGCCCGGAGTGCCCTCTGTTACTCAGAGGGAGATCAGCACCGGTCGGTGACGTCACCGACCGGGCCTCTTTTTTTTTTTTTGCTCAGCGGGTGAGATCAGCACCGGTCGGTGGCGTTCACTTGAGTCACTGGCTCCGATTGTTGGCCATTACGCGATGCGGCACGTCCTCTGAGTGGTGAGGGGAGATGCCAAAATTGCAATCTCGTGCCTTGATTTGTTTTTACGCCACACTTACGTTAACGTTCATTCCTCCTCTCCCGATCAGGGGAGAGGAGTTTCGCAGTCCTGCCCTCTCAAGCCTTTCCCCATTTCCGCCGCACTTGGCGCCAGAACATACAGAACGAATAAAGTGGGAAATAGCATGTACGCAGTTTGAGCCACCCAGCCGCTGTTGATACCTTGCGTGTAAAATGCAGCCTGCTGACCACACCACACTTTGACAGAACCGTGCACAAAGTTGTTGGGCAAAAAGCCATTGGGAAGCACCAGCATTCCAATGGCCACGCTGTAAATCGTCGTTACCGACACAGCTCATGCGCGAGCCGCCTGCGTGACATCAATGCCTCCTGTGGCTGTAGCACCGGGCTGAAGCGCCCGTCTGTCCCGACCGTCTGTCGGAGATTCGGAGATGTAGGCCACCATAGCACTGATCACTGGCTGTGGTCCGTAATATCCATATGTGCCGAGCCCGCAGCGCAGCCCGGTCATTGATCATTCTCACGATCTTCCACCGGCGTCATTCGTGCGATGTCTCTGAATCATGTCACGCCCGCGAGCCGACTGGCGTGAGCTCGGCACAGTCGTGCGATGTCCCTGAACTATGTAACGCTCGTGAGCCGAATGGCGTGAGCTCGGCACATTCGTGCAGAAGCCAGGCCAGTGAGCAGTGTAGATCGGGTCGGTCGTATTTCGAGTCGCTTGATACAGACCTGATGCACTCGAACAGCTTGTTGTGTCGTCAAAATTTTGCGTCGCCCACCTCGTGCTTTTTACAGCACGAGTGTGTTTACAGTTGCCTCATTTATATATATTCGCATCGTGTAGTGAAAAGCCGTGTGCACGCGCAAGACCTCCAGCGCCAACTGCCGGCCACATGTCAGATGGAAATGCATGCAACAAATGTGGCATATGGCATAAATGTTTCCCGTCGCTATATCCATAAATTTCTAGACATTTAGTGCAGATCCTACACACACAAATATTTTGACTCTGAGGCCATTTGTTGTACCAAGGCTCGAGCTCCACCTGTCTACCAGACCAAGACCAGAGCTCCAGCCGTCCCGCTGGCACAGGCCCAGGGCTCCAGCTGTCCGCTGGCACAGGCCCGGGGCTCCAGCTATCCGCCGGCGTAGGGAGGTCGGCCGTCCGCCGGCGCAGGACTACAGAGGGTCGGCCGTCCGCTTGGGCATGACTACAGAGGGTCGGCCGTCCGCCGTCGCGGAACTACAGAGGGTCGGCCGTCCGCTTGGGCAGGACTACAGAGGGTCAGCCGTCCGCCGGCGCAGGACCACAGAGGGTCGGCCGTCGGCCGGCGCAGGACGACAGAGGGTCGTCCGCCGGTGTAGGACCACAGAGGGTCGGCCGTCGGCCGGCGCGGAACTACAGAGGGTCGGCCGTCCGCTTGGGCAGAACTACAGAGGGTCGGCCGTCGGCCGGTGCAGGACTACAGAGGGTCGGCTGTCGACCGGCGCAGGACTACAGAGGGTCGGCCGCCGGTGTAGGACTACAGAGCGTCGGCCGTCCGCCGGCGCAGGACTACAGAGGGTCGTCCGCCGGTGTAGGACTACAGAGGGTCGGCTATCCGCCGACGTAGGACTACAGAGGGTCGGCCGTCGGTCCGCGCAGGACTACAGAGGGTCGTCCGCCGGTGTAGGACTACAGAGCGTCGGCCGTCCGCCGCCGCAGGACTACAGAGGGTCGTCCGCCGGTATAGAACTACAGAGGGTCGGCCGTCCGCCGGCGCAGGACTACAGAGGGTCGTCCGCCGGTATAGAACTACAGAGGGTCGGCCGTCCGCCGGCGCAGGACTACAGAGGGTCGTCCGCCGGTATAGAACTACAGAGGGTCGGCCGTCCGCCGGCGCAGGACTACAGAGGGTCGGCCGCCGGTGTAGGACTACAGAGGGTCGGCCGTCCGCCGGCGCAGGACTACAGAGGGTCGTCCGCCGGTGTAGAACTACAGAGCGTCGGCCGTCCGCCGGCGCAGGACTACCGAGCGTCGGCCGTCCGCCGGCGCAGGACTACAGAGGGTCGTCCGCTGTCCGCCGTCCGCCGTCCGCCGTCGGCCGGTCGGTGGTCGGGCCGGCCGCTAACGAGCTGACCATCTGTGCGTCCGTGGAGCGCCGACAGGTGCGCCACCACTGTCGCTTCCCACCGCGCCGCCACCGCCGCCGCTCTGGCAGCGTTCATTACCCCGCTTTCGGCCCATGGGGGCTACCCGAGAGCCGCACAAGGCCGAGAGAGCCGGCGTGGCTGTACGGAGCCGGATCGGGCCCGGGTTGAGCCGAGCCCTGGTCTGGGTTGGCGGCGGAGCTCGGTGAGGGCCGAGATAGCCGGCGCGGCTGTACGGAGCCGGATCGGGCTCGGGATGAGCCGAGCCATGGTCTGGGTTGGCGGCGGAGCTCGGTGAGGGCCGAGATAGCCGGCGCGGCTGTGCAGAGCCGGATCGGGCTCGGGATGAGCCGGGCCCTGGTCTGGGCAGGCCAAGAGAGCCGGCGCGTAACAAGCCGGCGCGTAAAGAAATGTTTGTGTGGTACGTAACTGAGTTTTTTTAGATCCGTACCACTTCTACTGATCACCTTATCCATAGACGTCATGTTCACGGTCGATATGTTACGATATGTTACGAGGCAGGATGATATGTTACATGTGCCGGTGATCAGATCCGAATCGGGAAGGCGGCGTTTTGTTTACTTCGCCGTGACCGCCTACAACGCACTACCGCAGAATATCCGCGAGCTGAGCCTTCCACAATTCAAACGCGAGTTGCGTAGCTATATCCTGCAGCAGCAGATCAATAACGGATAGCGACGCCTGCTTCAAATGAATTTAGCTAATGTGAGAGTGCGTTCTGCGTATGTGTGTCTGCGTGTGTACGTGTTTACGCGAGCCTCCCTGACCTACAGTGTTTTATTTCCATGATACGAGGTCTGTAATAGCCACATTCTGGATGGAGTGACCTTATGACGTGTAATAAATAAATAAATATATAAATACTGTATCTGGGGATGTTGTCGGCGCATATCGTGGAGCGGCTGGTGTTTGTAAGGCGGTCTGGTGCTGCCACTGCCAGACACCGCGCCGTCAGCCCGTGCCCGGGGCCGCAGCGTCAGCCGCCAGCCAGGCTCACCTTCTTGGTGCGACGGACCCAGTAGTCGAGGTCGGGCTGTGACACGAGGTCGGGCAGCCACGGGTGGTTGCGGTGGAAGCCCATGTACTTGATGCCCACCCAGTCGAGCAGCGGCGCGGTGGCTCGGCCGAGCGCGCCGCCGACGGCGCCGCCGGCCGCGCCCGCCCAGCGCCGCAGCGTGGCGCAGGCGGCTGCCACCGTCAGCCAGGCGGACAGGTAAGGCGAGGAGGCGGCCGACGGCGGCCGTGACTGGCGCACCGTTTGGCGCGCGTGATCGCGCAGGCTGCGATGCGCCGCCTCCAGCCGCGTGGCCGTGTCCAGCGACATGGTGGGCGGCAGGCGCGGCGCGGCGCGTTCGCCGCGGCTGCCGAACACGCTCGGCAGGAGGTCGCTCATCGAGCTCGACTTGCGCATCTTGGCGCGCCGATAGGCGGATGGCGGCGGCGCGCCGGCGCGCGGCGCTCGGTGGTCCTTCAGGTTGAGCGTGATGTACGTCTGCGGCGGGTCGGGCGGCGGCGCTGCGGTGGGCTCCGACGCCTCTGCCTCCTCTTGACCGGGAGGCTGCGCGGCGGCGCAGTCCACGCTCTCGTCCCCGGAAGGCTCATCCCCAGCTGCGTCCGCATGTTCGCGCCGCGCCTCCGGCTTGGGCAGCGTGTCCATGCTGGTGATCTCAATAGGCACGGCGCGGAAGAGGTCACTGTTGGCGGTGCTGCCGGCGACACTGACCGCGTCCTCGGCGTCGCCCGCCAGCTCCAGCTCGGCGTGTCGCAAGCGCAGGCCATCGATCAGACCCTGGCGCACGTCCTGCCCGTTGACATAGAGTGGTTCCAGCGGCAACAAGGCGGCCTGACCGTCGGCGCTGGCGCTGCGTCGCGGCACGCTAGCCCGCGCTACAGATCCGTCCAGCGACTCGGCGTCCAGGGCTTCATCGATGGCCGCGTCGATCTCCAGCTCGTCGTTCTCGATGTCGTCCTGGTCGTCGTAGTCGGATCCCTCGTCGCTGGCGCCATCGACTTCTATGGAGTCGTTGAGGATGTCTCTGCGGTCACCGTACGGTGGTTTGAAGGAAGTTTGGCGCGTCTGAAAGCTCTGTGACGCCATCAGCACGAAGTTGTCGTTGATGGACTGCTGGAGAGGCACGGACGGCATGGTCTGGCTGTTCGCTGTCGCCAGTTCCTCGGGAGACATCTCTGACTTTGGCTTTGGGTGTAATCGGAAGCTCTTTTTGGTCTTTATCTTCGGCTTCGGGATTTCGATTTCAGCAAAGCACTGTTGCAGATTCTGCAGGCTACGCGTCTTATGTCTCGTGGCATCTCGTTCTTCTGATGTTTCAAATGCGACAGTCTTGGGGACGCTTCGTAGCGAGGTGGCTTTGAGAGATGACGGCCTGCTCTGAACGCCCCCTGCAGGCTTCGATTTGAGTGACTCTGGTTTTGGAGATGGCATGGGTTTCTTCCTGGAGCGCTTCCATGTGCTTCCAACACCGTCGACCTCCTTATGGCTTCGCTTGGTGGCCTGACGCTCCTTATCGCCAGCTTGTCCCGTCTTCTCAACATTGTTCTCTGCAGCTATAAGTGGGTTCTCAAACACTCCCGACGCCCCTACCACAGCCGGGTTCTCATAAACCCCCGACGCCCCAAACGCAACCGGGCCCTCATGCATCCCTGATGCCCTTACCATAGCCGGGTTCTCATACACCCCTGACATGGTCACCGCCTGTGGGTTCTCATAGAGGCCGGTCGCCGGTGGCTGTGGGGCGTGCCTCGTCTTCCGCCGCGGCACGGCGTACACGTCACCGTTCTCGCTCGTCTTGGACGACACGCCACTGTCGCTGCCAGCCTCCTTGGCGTCGGGCGCGTCGTCCAGTGGGATGTCGAACAGCTCTTGCGCCGAGACCCGCTCTGGGCCGCGACGCAGGTGCGGCTTCACAATGGTGCCTGTGTTGTAGCGCATCTCGACCACCTCCTCGATGATCTCGGGGCACTCGCGCATCATCTCGTAGGTGCTCTCGCGCTTCTGCACGCGACTGTACAGCTCGTCGGCGCCATCGGGCTGCTCGAGGTCGCGGTCGGCGCTCTCCGGCCAGAGCGACGCCAGCGACGGCAGCTTGTTCTTGAAGAGGTTTCGCAGCGATCCCATGACGTCTGCGAGCAGTTATCCTGCCTTGCAAGCGCTGATGTTGATCGTCTTGCCGCCGTTGCGCGGCTCGAGAGACGGCGGTCACACGGCGCCAGTCGCCGAGCCTGGATAGATATCAGTTCGTGTCTCGGAGCTCCTCATGTGAACCGGTCCCGATCGTCACCGACGCTGGTCGCAGGTTCACGCAGACGCGCTCACACACCCCCTCTTCACGTCACCGAGTTGTCGACAGCCGTCGCTCGCCGACGTCGCCGACCCGGCAGGCTCTTGCCGACGGTCAGCGCGGCTCCGCCTGACCTCTAACGTCACCTCTGCCGCTCACGCTGTCCGCTCCCAGAGGTGGCGACGGCTGCGGACCACACCGGACCAGACCACTAGCACTGGGTCGGACAGCGCAGCCCGCCTCACCAGGCCTGCGCACAGGCTCCCCGGGAGACCACCGGGTCCGGCGCCGGCTGCGGACCACACCGGACCAGACCACTAGCACTGGGACAGCGCAGCCCGCCTCACCAGGCCTGCCCACAGGCTCCCCGGGAGATCGCCGGGTCCGGCGCCGGCTGCGCGCGGCCGCCGATGACTCCCAGCCGCCGACTGTGGCGCTGACGGAGCCTCCCGCCGCCGGCGGCAGAGTGTTCTGCTGGCCGCGCACGGCTGCCGACAACCTCCCGTAATGGCCGGCCGCGGTGAGCCGCCCGCCTTGCACTCCGGTCTCCGGTGGGAAGCTGCAGCTAAAAAGAGTCACACTTATGGCGCGCGGCCGGCTGTGTTCCGCATTGCTGGATGATCGCTGTGAGAAACACGCCGGGGCCACGTCCTGGAGCTTAGCGCTGATCCGACCAGGCCGCTCGGCTGGCAACCCGCTCTCCGACGGCTAGTACACTCAACACTCCGAGTAGTGGCGCAAGCTTGCCGGAGTCGAGAAGACGTAGGATCTCCTCCGCCAGTCCGTCAGCCGTCGCCTGTCCGCACCGACGCGCCGCGCAGACAACTGGCGTGCCCGACCGCGTCAGGCGGACGTGCCGACGACCGTACGCGCCGAGGGCGGCCAATGGCCAGCCGCGGCAGCGCCGCCTGGCCAATCGCCACTGCCGGCGGCGCTTCGTCGCGGATGAATGAGCGCCGGCGGAGGACGGCCGTGTGGCTCGGCGGCGCCCGGAACAGGCAGCGGAGAATGCAACGGCACGGGTCACTGCGTCCGCGGGCCGTGACGCGGCCCCGCACCGGTCAGGGGTAGCGCGCTGGAGGGTCGCAGTAGGCGCACCCGCGCGCCACCAGCCACGCTGGCGCACAGGCGCCACCGCGTTGTTAGCTGATTACGATTACGGGACATTTACAGCCAAAGAACGCGAATTGCTTGGATGTCATGGTCACCAAACACGGGGAGTCTACTCAGGTGGCGAAGCTGTATGGTAGGCCCGTTAGCTGCCGTGATAGTTTTTTCACAGAGACGGAGAGCGCCTTATGCTCTGTTCATAAGAGATTGCCAAATCGCAAGCAAGCACAAGCTGGTGAGATTTCCCGCACTCACCCTCATATCACAGGTCAGGGAAGTGTACAGAAAACACACAGCTAGCCTGCTAGTTCCTGACGTGGGCATTGCTTCAGAAAAAATGCCATATGTGAAAGCACAGGAAAGGTTCACACTCTTCGCCACTCGAGATGATGAGTGATTTACTGTCAGATACCATGCATGACTGCCGTTTACAACGTGCTGAACGAATCTGTAGCAGCAGATCTGAGTTTGCATTGGCATTCGGTACAGCTGCAGTTGACAGTAGAGTAGCTGTGCCTATGGATAGACACCCAGGAATGTAAGTGTTGTTTATGGGAGCAACAGCTTGCCAGGATTTTTAATGACGGTCCTTCGAATCCACGCCCATACACCCGCTTTATCTATGAATGGCAAAATATCGTGCTGTCATATCGCATAGTTTTTATGCCTGAAGGGATATCTCGTCGATGAAGTCCATTGGTTGTCAGGCCGCGTTTACCGCACTAGAGCGTGTCACGTGACTGTGTGTTGCTAATACCACAGGATGCGGGAAGCTGGACTAACTTGTGTGTGAGAGCCGGTGCAGGTCGGGGAGGACCCATCCCTCCCAGCCGAGCAGGCCGTGGAGGTCTGCAGGCGGTCCCACCGCCGCATCTCGGTGCGTCGCCCTGCCCGGCTGGGCCGCCCGTCCGACACGGGACGGAACGGGACGGGACGCACGGCAGCGGAGGCCGGCCATCTGCCTCCGGCACGGCTGCGCGTCACAAAGGAGGCCGCAGCGCAGCCGGCCGCGGTGTGGCGCAGCTCCCGCCCACAGTGTGGCGCCGGGCCACACCAGCGGCTGCCTGCCGTGAGGCCGGGGTCGGGCCGGCCACCAGTAGGGGAGGGAGGGGGGATGGGAGGGCGATAATGTCACGGATGCCGTGGCTGTGACCTAGGTCTGGCGTAGGCACGTGGGGACTCACGAAAAGTCGAGGCCAAAATGCAATTTGTATATATTTTCATCAGACATCTGTACGCGGATAATCCTTACGTCATTTCTAGAATTGGAACAGCAAATGGTAGATTTTACGGGAGCTGGGCCGCCGCTTCTTGCCTGCCCCGCCCACCACAGCTCCCTGTTTTCCTGCGCTACTTGTCTGCCCCGCCCACCGGAGCTCTCTGTTTTCCAGGCGCCTGGTCCGCGGCTGTGCGGTCATCGTCAGGCATAGAAGAGAATGAGAATGGCAACACTCGTCTGATGAGCTCAGCTCGGCGAGACTCTGCAGCAAGAGCGCGCTGGGCCGCCGAGACAACCCGCCATCCATTGTGATCCAGTCAACGGCGCCAGCCAGCGCAGGAGTCGCAGCGCACGAGCGCCCGCACTGATCCGGCGATTGTGTGTGTGGGACCGGCCGTCACTTCAGCTCGCCTCGGTCGTGAGGCTGAGGCAGATCCACTGACTCGCGCTGAGTCAGTGGATCTGAACACAAGCTGTGTGGCCCGTTCGGGTTCAGTTGGCACCAACCGGATTGTTTTCGACGGAAGGGTGAGCAGCCACTGTGCCAAACAACAGTTCAATTTCCCTGATCAACTACCACCCAGCCGCTGTGCTGGGCGAAAACCTCAACTCCTTTAGTCAATTGTCCACATGTTTGTCTGCCTTCTCGGTAATGTGGGCGTGTGGGAACCTCTCCATCTAATCATTCGCAAATGTGTAAGGAAAATATCATGCTTGCATTGCATTCACGACAGCGGTGTTCTTTTTTCATCCAGCCTATGTGGAAATCCAGAATGTATCCACATAACTTGCAGGCTTAGCTCCATCGCCTTTACGTGATTTTATTAGACGACTGTCATCTGCATCGGCAGGGGAGTAGAGTCCGCTGCCACCTGCCGTGGGGGCGTGTCAGCGCGTGCCACGGGAGGAACGCAAGCATGTGTAGCGGGTGGAACGAAGCATGGACGAATGTGTCGTGGATGATCAGAGAAACGTGCAGCGCAGGGTAGATGGATACTGACAGAGGGAGACAGATAGGGAGAGGGAGAGAGAGGGGGAGGGGGCAAGAGAGCAAGAGAGAGAGAGAGAGAAGGAGAGAGGGGGAGAGAGAGAAAGAGAGAGGGGAGAGGGAGAGAGAGAGAAAACGAGAGAGAGAGGGAAGGAGAGAGGGGGAGAGGGAGAGGGAGAGAGAGAGAGGAGGGAGAGATCGAGCTAATCACGCTCATTGCGGGGACGAAATCATCTATCGTGAGAAAAGACCGACACGTTGCGCGGATGGCGAAGGTGCCTGCTCCGGCATGATCTTGATGGCGGTATCTGCTGCGAGCGGACGGACACATACCCCGTGATATGTCCTTGGCGTTGGTATCTGCCAGCGGACGGACACATACCGCGTCACATAAGTTGCGTGTAGGTTGCCGGAGGGGCGGGTATCAAGACCTGTGATGCCGACCCAGCTGTATTCCGTGGAGACGGCGGTGTGTGCCGCCGGACGGTGGACGCACGTGCCGTGGGAGGACCAAGCGGCATGCCGTGGGAGGACAGCCGGGAAGCAGGCCAGCCGCTGCGGCCGGCTGCGCCCCGCTGGCCACCATCCATCAGCTGCGGCCGCCCCACTGTGAAATGACGCCTACTTGGCGGCCGGGCAGCGATGCCCGTCCGGTATCGCACGAGTGCCGACGGCCAACAGATGGCCGCGCCGCCGACCGCGCTCGCTCGCGCCGGACAGGTACCAACAGAGGGACCACTTCGCAGAGGTCCCCCCGCGGTGAGTCCAGTGTTCGGCGGTCACCAGCGTGGGCCCGGGGCCAGCGACGCCGACCATTGCCAGCGCATCTCGAGGAGCGAGCGCTCCCACCGCACGGGCCCAGTCACGGGAGCGAGCACGGCAAACGGAGCCTCCCGGGAAACATCCGCCAACTGAGAGACGCCGGCGAGATTCATCACATCCCACGGTGCCGTCACACTTAACACCAAACAGCGCGTAATCGCCTCTCACGGTCTCCGCACGGTCTCTGTACGATCACCTGGCCATCTGACTCAGAGGCAGCAGTCCTGACGCTCCGCTCGCCATGGCGCTGGTTCTCGGCTCTCGGGGACGGCACTCGTGGGACGGCGCCGGCGGCCGGCCGGCGCCTCACGCGCGGACGGAGGGTGAGTATGTGCGCGACGCCTCTCACGCGTCGGTGATGGGCCCAGCTGTCGGCCCCGGCCGGCGACGGCCCGTCCACAGCCGGCCGGCGCGCCGCGCACACCAGCCGGCTGGCACGGACGCGGTGGGAGGGCGCGGACCTTTGCTGGACCGTCGCGTGGGGGGCTGGTCAGGCCGGGAAGACATGACGATATGCTTCAAGTGCTCCGTAGGGTAGGATTCGTGTGCGATCTCGTTCTTTGAGACGGCACGATTTAGCGACTACATACCTATCAGACATGATTAGCATTCGTCATAAATCCAGAAGCACCC